AATTAAGTCCATTACAAGAGTACACATTGGCCTTGTAGGCAAGTTTAATCCCATCCTCAAATTACTCAGCTAGTCTTTAATGAGGTGAATTTCTTCCCTCGCACCCTACTCAAGGAATGACAAGAATCGTCTCAAGTTTGAACAAAAATGTAGAAGTAGTACGCAGTCGTACTGGAGCAGTGAATCAAAAGGTTAATGACAGTATAATTCTGGAGGTTTGCACCGGAGTTTGGGAGAGGAAGCTGACAAACGAAGCAGCAGCAGCAGTCCTGACACATGGCCCACATTCACAGCCGCCTCCCACGTCACTGTGCTCCTCAGAGAAAAAGCCCCTTTTGTTTCCTAGCGCAAGGAGGGAGGGAGGTCCCTAGGGTGAACCGCCGCTCAGCTCCACCACTCCACCCGCCATCAACAAAAAAAAGAGAGATTAATAAAGAAACAGGGACCGGACATCCCACCCCTGCCCGGCATCCACCCTACTCACTCCCCGCTTCAGCACACAAACACAGGCTCATCAGTAGTACCACCACTACGGTTGTGATTGTCTTTTCCTGCTACTTTTGCTACTTACATAATTGGGTCAGTCTGCATTGTTGCATTAAAGACGTCTCCAACAATGACCTCGCTGTTAATAGCAGTACTGGAAGAACTCTCCCTTTCAGATTCTTTACTTGAATTAAAGTACCAATACCACAGTGTATCCATTCCACATTGAAGACCTGCATAAAAAAGGCACTTAAGGAGAAGTATCATCAGCAAGATGTACCTAAAAGTATCAAAAGTAAAACCACTTGCAGAATTTCCCCTGTCAGTGTTGTATTATTAGGTATTAGATTATTACAGATGTGTTAATATGTAAGCATGTGTTTGGCACTACTACTATAAAGCAGCATAAAATTGAAGTTCTCAAGCGGTCTAAAAATACCTCAAGGTTAAAAAAGTACAGGACTTGATTAATTACAGTATACTCAGTACATCACATTAAATAAACCACAAGCTAATACAGGCATTTGCCAAAATCGCTACCCCAAATGTCAAAAGTAGTGAGTTCAGACAAACCTGAAGCCTTACAGTGTTCATAGAAATGTACATCTATTCATGCTCCACTTGCGTCTCTCATTTGCCTTTGTATGCAATTACACTGTGTCCATTCTTCATTTCACGTTCTGTTCAGTCTGTACACATGTTGAGGCATAATCCGGGGTTGGCCTCCCAAATTTTGAGAATAGAGACACTGAAATAATGTGACTACAAATGACACATTTAAAACTGTGTTTATTTGTATAGAAATATGCTCAAGTTTTTACATAACTTTGTAGTTACAAATCGTAAAAAGAAAGAATATTAACGCTATTAGCATCACAAAGTTTCTCTCGAACAAACGGGAGCATAGATCTCGGAGAGAAGCCTGATGTTACTGTGTGAAATGTTAAGCTCTTCAATATATATTACAGGTTGTTTGTGCGTGCAGCCTGTTGCTCAGTAAGAGTGAAGGGGGGTTTACTAACAGTAGCTCTCGAAGTAGTCCCCATTTCTGTCCATCATGTACCCATGTACAATTGAAGGCGGTCAGTGGAACGGACACTTGTTCTGGTGCAGAGAATTTATACAAACCTGCTGTGAATTCTCTCCAAATGTAGTACAATGAAGGTAATCAGGGTTACAGAAAAATGTTAAAGACCCCAGTCTCTGAGCCAACATTAATATATAATTTTTATATTTATCAGTTCTATTATCTCCACCTGAATCTGTCCTCTCCAACTTCTTTGTTCTCCTGAGACACAGTTCAGATACCACACAGTGAGGGAGTAGCTTCTGACTACACAAAGTCCCCAAAAATGGGTGTTTAGCCAAAAAAGCTCCTGCTCAATCTCTCCTTGAGAAAAGAAAAAAAACCAAGTGCTAGAACGCTCGCTGCATTTGCTATCCACTTGCTTTGCCCTTAAGACTATCAGTTCTGTTTATTGTACCACCTAGTGATAAACTTTCAGTCCCCTAAATTAGCTTCCCCTGAGAGGAAGACAGTGCAGCTCAGTTCCTCTCAATTTGCTCAATGTCGAGCTCGCCTCCGAGCTGATACACATCCTTCCTCATGCTACACAACCCCGCCCACAGAGGCTCACTGTCCTTCCCATTGGTCGTCCCTGGTGTCACGTCGCCGTAGTCTGCGGAGTTCCAGTCCACCTCCTCAATGGTGGGATCTGACGACACGTTCCTGGTGATCTCGCCCTCTTTGGTCTGAGGCTGAACGTACTCCAAGCCGTGTACGTTTGCAGATGAGTCATCAGTGTTGCACTGAGCGGTGCTCCTGAGAGTAGGGAGGGCCTGGCTTGACTCGCAGCTGTCTTCGCCTATGATTCCTGGGCAGCTAAGGCTGTGGAAATTCCGAAGTTTCTGTGGAAGGACAGAAAGTTCATTTTTTTCAAAGCATGATATTGATGTTTTCAAGGAAACTAGCATACACTTAAACAAATATGTCAAATCTTTGGTCTGGTAGGAGTCCATGGTCTCTATGGTGATTGCATATTTGGTGAGGAAATCAAAAACATTTCATTCCTTCATCTTGGACTATGAACCATGTCCTAACTAGGGCACAAGCACAACTAAAGGCATACAGCCATCTTATGAAAACAATCCCCCTACTATACTCATACAGTATGTGGGTGAGTCAGTGAGGTCAGAGCTCAACACTGGGCAACAACCACTAAAATATAAAAAAGTAACAAGATTTCAATGGTATAAATTTAGCCTGCATTACATACTGGAGCAACTGGTAGTTGACCAAGTGAGGCTATGTGATCTGAGGTCCAACTGGAACCCAGGCAGCAAGTGGCCAGATATCTAGAGGGTAGACATCACTCATGTCAGCGTTTTGCCTCTGCTGGCCTTTCACTGGCACTGCACAATGAACACATACATCTGGGAAACTTCCTTAGGCAACTCCACATGTGCCAGCGCTGCTGCAGGCAAGTCCTGTGACAGCTGAGCATGCTGTACTGGGAGGCTTTATGACAGAGTCTTATCCAATCTGTATAGCTAACATGGAGAAGGCAGGACAGCTGCCTCATGACTGAACACTGCGGCGTTCAACCAGCAAGACACAGGAGAATAGGACCTCTGTGAAACCTCCTGTCACTTGTGTGCTTATGTAATATCTAACAAGCATGGGACTGTTCTGATGCAGCTCACCGCCAAGTGTATGAACTACAGCTGCAACTCATCGATAGATAAAAGATTCAATTGAATTAGATTCAATATGTGGTTTTGTTTAGACAATGTCAGAAAGAAAAAAAAAGGACAAATTCCAATCTCAAGTTCCAACAGCACATAGTGTTGTCATATACCTGCTTATTTTGTCAAGAGTTAAAAGGTTTACAATGATACAGAAAGGCTGCAAATAATCACATTAGAGAAGCTGAACACCGATGTTAGCAGCTCTGTGTTAGGTACATGATTTCTGCCTCGATTTAAATGCTAACATTGGCATGCTAAAATGCTCACAATGACAATGCTAATGTGCTGATGTTTAGCAGCTGATTAGCACTAAATGCAAAGTGCTGCTGAGGCTGATGAGAATGTCATTAGTTTTGCAAATATAGTGTCATAAACTAAAGTATTGAAGCTGATCTGAGCTGATGATGGTGCTAGAGGAAAAGTCAAGCAATCACCAAAGTTATTACAGTTCATCCTGTGGGGAACATGAATCTTTATCAAATATTATAGCAATCTATCCAGTGGTTGTTGAGAAATTTCTTTCAAAACCACAGATATCAATCTCAAGGTGGGGCTAGAGGAAAAGCCAGTGGATCACCAAGGTCATTAGGGTCCATCATCTGGGAACCATGGATGTCTGTACAAAATCTGGACCAAGTTCCCAGTTTTTCTTGGCACCGGTCTAGTTGGTGCATTTGGCAGCACTAGGCAACTGTCACACTGCCTTCTGCATTAGCACTTCAGTCTCAACTGTCAAGATTTACGGTCCAAGACCATGGGACCAAACTGATAAGGCCATAAGAAGTCTGGACAATAGCAAAAGAGTGCCATCGACATTAACTAAACCATATATAGCTCTAACTTAGCACAAACGAAGTGTTCTGCAGAGGAAGACAGAGAAAATATTTTTTCACAGTGTCCTCACACAACCTACTGCACCACATCACAATGAGGGTCATGAATAAGTGCTGCCGGTGTCCATGTTTGTCTGCTACTATAACCCCCCCCCTCCCGAATGAAATGGAGAAGAGAGCAGAAAGTCTCCTCATCCATACTGACCTTGACTCGCCATCAATAAAAGCTGATCAATAGCTCATGAGGCCCGGCTGTGGCAGCAATCCACCCACTGAGCTGAATTTGCAGAAATCAATCTCTTTCCCCAACACGCATCTCCCTTGTGCAACAATCCATAACCTCTGCCACAGCTGCTCCACTTCCTGACATTCATGGAGCCGCAGTGAGCAGAGGGAAGCAGTTTCTCCCTGGTTAAACTACACTGCTGTGGCGTGTGGATGACACTTTAGAGACACACTTGGCACTGTGATCATATTTGAATAGTAAGGTGACTTTGAATACTGATAGGGTGACGTATGTGAAGTGCGATAAAGCCCGAGTTGAGCGCCAAGCAAGTTTATTCTATCATCACCAGTGAACATCTTTTCCACTGTGATTTCCTGAATCTCCATAGTTACACACTTAGGACTTATAGGTTTAAGCAATCACTCATTTTTGCAAATAATCAAATTATGGTTTAGTCTATAAACAGGTAAAAGTTCCCTGAGCCTAAGGTGACAAATGCAAATAGCTTGTTTTGTTCCAATAAACAGTCCCAAACCCAAAGATATTCAATGTACAATCATATAAAACACAAGATAGCTGCAAATCCACACACTTGAGAATCTGAAATTGGAAATGGTTTAGCATTATTGCTTGATAAATAACTAAAAGCCACTAATGATTCACAAAATTGTTTTTTTGTCATTTGACTTAACACCACAACATGGTTTAGTTGCATAACTGGGCCGAAACGCCTCGTAGTTTCAAAGGCTGCGTTCCTTCCACCTGAACTGAAAGCCAACGTCACAGCAGTCCCTTTTAATAGAGGAACAGAGAACACAATGCACGAACAGCAGGACAGATCCAATGCTAACAATCTCAGCACCCGGACATTCCTCTGTGAAAATATTGTTAGTTGCCTCGCCTAAAGCTCTTTTCTCCACGCTGACCTCGTCCCTGTTTGGAGTGTGTGTGGCGTCTGCTTGTCGTGTCACAGCAGCAATGTTGTTAAGACACAGCTGAACTCTGTGTGACTTTCTCAACAGGGCCAAGTCCAGCTCTGTGTTTATGATCCAGCCAGTGTACGTGTGAAAATTTACTATATACGCGCGCACGTGTGTGTGTGTGTGCGCAATTGTGGGACAGAGAGATAAACAGCTGCCAGGATGTGCAGATGAAACAGGTGGCCAGTGATTTTACAATATAATTTATTTTATGAATACAAACTCATCTGATCCACTGACTAACTTCTTAATTCCTGCTTTGCTCAAATCATCTTCACCCATTAGCACATTAAAAGGGGCATTCTTTGCTTCGTGAGTTCCATTTCTGCAAGTGCAAATACACACCCACATAATGGAATGTGACCTAGAACAGGCCTGCATGAACAATCACCTTCATTTAATGACATGCCTGCAGAAACACTTTGAGGTGTGCTGGGAAAGAAGAGACACAAAGGCGTGACCTTCGTTGGAAGTGTTTGTTTATCCAACATGCCACAACAGTGGAGTAGAACTAGCAAATGTTAGTGAGACTGATGGACCAAGCAGAGCTTCCAGCTGGCATGACACTGATCTTTTGGAGCACATAAAAGGGCTGTGGCGAGTTCAAACTATAAATAAATGCTACATAAAATGCCACTGGAGATTTCTTATGGCATGCTCAGGTGCATTTAACGTGTTTTCACAAAGTGTATGTTAGGCCTCAATTGAAGTTAAACAGGACAGTCCTCCTTAAATACTGCAATCCCTGCCTGTATGTTTTAAAAAGATTATATTATTATTATATTACATTTGTGACCTGTTTTACAAAGTAACACTTAAATACCCACCTGGGTCATCTTTGCCAGGTCCAAAGAAGGCCTCTGTTTTTGTGTGTCAGCTGGTCTTCTGCGCTTCACACCAATCTTCTTGTCATTGAGGACACACGGCTGTGAGCGACTACGGGCGAGGCCCCCCGGTCCACCACGGCGCTCCAGCTCTGGAGTAGAGTCAGGGGAGCTGGTTGGTGAGGGTCCACGAGGCTCAGGGAGGCAGATCTGTTCATCTGAGAGGTAGAGGGGCTGCACCAAGGGTTCGGAAGACAGGGGCATGGAGGAGGAGGGCGCCAGGCCGGTGAAGACAGAGGGGCAGGGGAGATATTGGGTGAAACAGGGCAGCTCCACAGTGTTGGACCGGGCGGGCAGGCTGAAGCTGGAGCTACGTTGCATGACGGGGAAGCCGAGCTGCACGTTCACAACACCACCACGCTGGACACTGCCTCCGCTGTGGCACCTCCTCTTCTCCACTGTTGTCCAAACACGAGAGCCCTGAGGGCGCCAGGTGGAGCGGCAACCACCAAGCTCATCTGAGCAAGACAGGGACCGGCACTGCCGCTTGCTGGGGGGTGCGGTGGAGTGCGAGGACACAGCCTCTGTCAGGCTGAGGTCTTGCAACAAGCTGGTGATTGTGCTTGAGGTGGAGCCAACATCCCAACCCCAGTGGGCAGAAGTTTTATGCACCTCAGGCAGGACGTCCCACAGGCTCTCCAGGCTGGTCCCAACTGGCCTCTGCTGTATGGCACAGCTGTGACCCAGCTCATGCCACCGGCTTGTCTCTGCAACAAAAAAACATTTCATTTTAATTAAATAATCTAAATGTGATGCCAGACAAGATTCTCACCTAAAATATTGGAAATGATTTAAGGGCTTATTTGCAACCCTAGACCCTTAAACAAATGCAGCCTCATGATTAGTCTGTTATGTTTACATTTCAGCAGTTGTCAGAAAAGGATTTGTCTCAATTTTCCGCTATTTTTCCCCATATGACATTAGGTTAAAAAACCTGTATGGGAAACACATGAACTTTTTTTATAAGATGTTTCCCTGATGCATGTTCAGGATTAACTCTTTGGTCAGGGTCTTTTAATAAAAAAAAATTTAAAAAATGTGTGTGCCTCCAGCATTTTTATTAATTAGTTTGTACATGACTTTGCACCCAAAGTGCCAGCCAAATGATGTAATCATGTAAATGTATCAAACAAGGCTCACGCCATGAGATTATAGATTTTTAAGTAACTCAGCAGCTCTGTTTGGCTTGTTAAATCTCCCTTATTTTTCATACGAAGTGACATCATCATCACTGCTTGAGGGCTGCGTTTTATTTTGCAGTGTCAAAAAAAAATTTTTTTTAGTGCCAAGGTTTTACGATCATAAGAGGTTAAGTTTGGCAACCTCAACGTGGACAACATCCATGACACTGCTCCAGTCTGGGTCAGCTCGTTGGTCCCAGCATGATTATGTACTTTGTGTATCTAGTATTGACACTACTCCCTGCTTTGTGTAATTGGCACTAAGAATAAATCCTGTCCTCCAGGCACTACTTTAGTGTCACAGTCTGTAAGCACAGCTAATTGGGACAGGGAAGGGAGCTTAATGTCTAACTGACTCAATATCAAACCTCGTCTCTACCGGAGCAAGCTTGATAAAATGTCAATAACCCATCATCAACTTTCTGGCTTATCACCTTGTTGTTTTTTTGAGATCTACTAGTAGAGGTATCAGATTATATTCTGTATCAGACAAGCTCCCTATCTGCTCTTGCTGATCGACTCTGCCCTAGCACCATAGCTACTATGCCAAAACACATGTTGCCACAACAGAAACTCCCTTGATTCGCTGAATGGGTCAGCCAACTGAACTAGTCAGTCAACTCTGATTTAGATACTAAACGTCAGGTATGCAAAAGGTCTATTCTTCTCCACTACAGATAAAATCCCCAAAATACCATCTGCAGTCCATGGAAACCACTTAGAATAAAGGGCAGTGTTAACAACACCTACTGGTACTGCTGCTCTGCCAGTCTTGCAAGCTTAGTGTTAAGACAGAACAGCATTTAATCTTACAATACTAAGACTGTAGGCTGGGGTTGTTGCTCATACTGCTGAGTGTAGGATTTTTTGGCATGTCTACAACTAAAGCATGCAGGATGCAAGCAGCACGCATGCAGCACGCAGCCATTAATACACATTAATCGTGGCCGACACAATACTAAACATCTGACATTATCTGTAGTAAGTACATAATTACTTGTCATGTGCAGTTAGTGAAGGGAAGTAAAAAAAGAGATGTTGCACTGTGTGATTTATGCCAAGTTGGCAATTCCTTTAATGTCTCTGGTGCTTTTAGGCCATTGTGGACAATTTTATGAACACATTGAATTCACATAGAGGTGTACATCTGTATAGTGATCAGAAAGATAGCAGACTCTTACCCATGAATCCGCAAGAGAAAAGTGCAGTCCCTTGGCTCATGGTCTGTGCCTGAAACTGCAGAAATGCAAGAAAGATTCACTGTCAGCCCACCAGAAACCACAAAGTCACGTAAATGGGTTTGCATAAAATGTATAGGAGGTTCTAGCAATAAAAAGTCAATAAATCAACAAAGAAAAACAAAACCTACTAGAAAGTCAGATTTTGTGTATACATAATTGGCCCCGAGTGTATGTCGTAGCACATTTTTTGCTGCTGAGATGAAGACTAAGTGCGACCCATCAACAGAGTTCCACCATAAATGCCTCTGATTGACGCTCAGCCTGATGACTTAATTTCACATGGCTGAAAAGGCAAACCCACATTAGTGGGGGAAGTTTCTCACTCAGGCAGAAAGAAGGTTTCTACTGCATGGATACTGATTAGAAAATGAGTCAGTTGCTCAGCGTAGTGAAACTAAAATACTCCATTGTCTTTTTGAGTGAAAGAAATGGGACACGCAGGATTCAAAACCAGATGACAAATGTCCCAGTGATAGCAGTTGGCAGCTATGATGATGAAATGATCAGTAATAGGAACATAAGCATCCCTTATTCCCAATCTCCAACATCCGAACAGTTCTTTTGACATCACTTCCTGACATTCACTAAAGCAACACTTGTGAATTTTCCAACAAGTTTGACTCAAGGGAAGCTAGAAGTCAAATTTAAGATCTGATTAAAGCTGACAAAACAGGAAAATCTAATGTTGAGCCATAAAACTGCTGTGGAGTGATGAGTGGCCAGCAACAATTTCCTGATTTAGAGCAACACCTTGTTGTTGAGGCCCGTTGGCAAGGCTACATATTAACATAAAATGACATTTCACACAGGGGGAAAAAAATGCTTACACAAGTAGAAAATAACCGCTCACCGGTCCCAAATCTGTACTTTTGGATGCTACATCGTCGGCACCCTTCTTTTCCAGTGTTTTCTTGTATATGATCACCATGGCAACACACATCTTTTTCCTGAGCTATTGCAGTGAGGGCAAGAAAAGCTGGTGGCCATCTTGATGGGCATGTTGTCAGCAGGCTGGTTTCTCATAAGCTTAAGACAGCAGCCCTCAACTCCTTCAGGAATGTGTTTCACTCCTCGGCCCAGTCCTGAGCAGACACACAATGATGAGCACAGGATTAGAATTCAGTACATTTCTGACATTCTGTCGACCATATAAGCAGAGAACAATCCAGTTGGATTGGGGGGGGGCTGAGGCTCTGAAACACAATGTCAATGGAGATCAAACCCTGTGCTCTCCTAATGAAATATTCAACTGAAAATGTATCTTTTGAGTATCAAATACTCACAACCAAGTGAGTGAGTAGCTTCCTTCTTCGGAGGATATCACATATCACACACAGTTACACTGGATTCCAATCCCAACAAAGAGTCAGGCAAAAGAAAGTGTAATTAAGTGTCAAACCCTCCATAGAAACTTTTCAAACCACCTCTGCACCATAATCCATTTCTCTGCCTCAGTATGCTAATTCTAACAAGAGTTTTAAAGCTATGAAGTAACATCTTTAGCTATGTTGTGTTGAAGCTATCGAGACTGTGGAGAAGTGGACTGTGCTGTAGGTACCGTTTGAGAAATTTCTATGCTATTGTAACTACTGTGAATCCGAGCTGTCTGCAGCCTACTGTCCTCCACTTTTCACAGCCACCTTTCAGGCCTACAGGCATTGAAAATATGATACTCAAAAGACAGATTGTTGGTGGCGTTCCCTATAGAACCCTCAAGCTCATCTCACACATACATTCAAAACACAGATAAATCAACTGTTAGTTGATTACTCTCCACACCGGCACTCTTGCAAACCTGTTCAACGCATTTAAGACAAATTCAAGAGAGGTCAGTGGTTAGACAAGCTCCTTTTATTCTGAAGTGAGCAAGCAAATGTTACCAGCAAACACTTGCTTTGATTAACAAGGTCGCCATATATATATATATATATATATATATATATATATATATATATATATATATATATATATATATATATATATATATATATATATATATATATATATATATATATATATATATATATATATATATTTTTTCAAATTGAAAGTATGCTGCATGGTCACCGTGTCACCAAAATTGGACCTCTATACTTTGTTTTGTTCTTGCCTGTTCGTGTGGAGGATTATCAGTCATCTGAGAGAGCAAGTTTCCTCAAAGTGTTCCACACTGGAGCACACAGAGAGGAATAGAGCAAAGTCAAAGTTGTGTAATTGAATACTGGCAGGCTGGGAATAGCTGACCTTGCGGTTATCAAAACAACCCTCTTCGCATTAGTGCTGCACCATGGTTACAGTAAAACAGCTGATTAGCCACAGATGTAAATCTATATAATCATTGCACAGGCCACCAGATCAGTTCCACATGAGGCTATGTCAGGTAGGGGACTGAAAAAGTGCAGTAGCACAAGGCGGTCATAGGATGCCTGCAAGGTCAGAGAGTGTCTGTTTGAATGACAGAACAACTGCAGGCACAAAAAAATGAGGGGAACAAAAGAGAGCTCTGTGCAGAAGATGAGACACCGTGGGAAACAAAAGAGGCGACATCAGAGGTTGCGGGTGGTTGGGTGGAGTGTGTGTGTGAGTTTGAGGAGGGGGGGGGTCCATAAGACCCTGAGGGAGCTGACATACTGCATGTGGTGTTTGCATAGGCATATGATCTCCATTAACAACACTTACCACATCAGGAGAACAACTTAAACACAAGGATGTTTTAGTTCTACAAGGACATCAACGCGGTTCAGGGACATCTGGCAGCTTTACCGTGTGGCCTCTGAATAGAAAAGAGCTGATCTAGGTCAGATCATCTTATACTATACTTGTCTATTAATCACACAGATCTGTGTTTCACAGCAGCGATAACCACGGACATGCTGGGGTAGAGGAAAACGTTGTTTATAAATTACCCTTGATGTCTGATGACAGTGACAGAGAAAGAAAAAAACCTCGCCCAAATGAAATTGGCAAAGACAAGAAAAGCTCTTTAGCATGATGTTTATCCAAGCAGAAAAGGACACTAAATGATGTTTTCCTTCCCTAGAAAAATGGAAAAAGTCTAACTGTAGCCTGACACTCTGGACTCTAAACTGTAAACAACATCCATTACTTCTAGTTACAGAGAACTGCAACAGTTCATCTTTCTCATGCTCATCATGCTCAAGGATTACGTTTTTATCCCATAAATCTGAGTGCTTTAAATGGGTGAGGTTTATAACATAATTATAAACATTCCTCAGCTCCATGACATAAGTTGAACACACAACTGTAAAAGCCTAACCTAGCCCCACATCCTTTGAAAATAGAAAACATGTTCAGAAGAGCTTGCGAAAGGGAAGTGTGCTTATTCTTCTACGGACAAAAAGTATATAGAAATGAGCCATACTAATGCTTAATAGAGACACCTAATGCATTTATCTCATACTGAATGCACTGCTGTGTTAAAAGATGCAGATCAAGTTAGAATCTGTCAAATGTGCCACTCCCCGTCTGACGTCCAAACCCGAATCACCTCCATAACGATGATGCTATTATCTGGAATCAGAGGGAGCCTCGAAGCTTCTGCAGCCCGATAGCTCTTTATCTAGGATGGGGCAGCAACCACCGTGACAACTGAGAATTTTAATCTCGCAGGGGAAGAATGTTGCAGGACGTTTCGCTCAGACGTGGCTTTCCATCACATGCATACAGGCTGCTGACTGACTGCAGCAAAGTCTGCAGTGACAGCGGCCTTCCTAAAAGTCAGCACTTATGCTGCCTTGGACGAGCTGATGGGACTCCACACTTCCTTTGTGGTTACCAAGGGCCTTTCAAGCATCGCTACTTTGGGGTGTCAAAAATAACAAGCTATCGTACTGCCTAAATGAGCGATAGATAGGACAAGAGAGGAAACCACAGAGTCGATTGGGTTAAGTGTAAAGCGGAGGCCTGCTTTAGAGTCAGCGTTCCCAGACCCAGCTTTATCTTTCTATGAGATCGGACAGCAGTACTATATGGTAAACGACACTTTCCTAAGACTCATAAATTGCAGTCAAGTCCAGAAAGACTACAGACTGTCAGCTTAGTTGTTACAATAGTTATCTAAGCTGTGGTCACCCATGGATCTTTGTTTCCCCAATTAGAGCAGCTTCTCCATACATTGCTCAGACAGTAATCCCACTGGTTAGGCCAACATTACGTAGGGATTTGGCAGCTTTGTGTCTGACTGACAATTAGAGCTAATACTAATCCATTTTATAGCACTTGGACAGCTGGTGGAGAACAACACTGTTTGATATCATTGTTGCAGCTTGTATTGGCTACTGAGCAACACATTTGCAAGCTACTTATTAGTCTGTTTTGTATCTATTTTTAGGGTTGTCACACATAGGCTTAACATTTTTATTAAAGCTTTCATCTCTATTAAACTGATATAAAAATAACAAAATCTTAAATGTTTGGTTTTCAGGCATCCGCCTTTGGCATTCCTGCATGCATGGCAGTCAGATCTGTATCCTGCTTTCAACAGTCCTACGATTGTCGCTGTCTCAGTAATCTGAGCATCTGCTGAGCACCTGAGACAGCCCGATTTGAAACCTAACTGAGGGGTTTGTGCTGCTCTTCATCACCATACCACTTGTGAAACGAATGCTGGGTAAAACTTTAACTAATATGTCCCCTTCCACTGAAAGATTCCCTAGGAGGAAATATGCACGTTCCTAAAAAGCTTTTGGCTGCTTTGAGTTACATGGTTTGTATAGGATCCAAATTTGGACTCAGCAGTTTCTCATGTGATAATGGTGGGTGTGGTTACAGAGCATGTCATAAAAGGCAGACAGACTTGCCAGGCTCATGAAGACCAGATAACTGAATGACAAATTGGCAATCCAGTTCTGCTTTTTTCTGCAGCACTGTGCATCATTGTCAATGTGAACATTCAAGGTTTCTGTAACCGAAACTTTCTTTGTTGGTGTTGTCATTAGTTAGGTGCCACAAAGGGCAGGTGCCACCAAGTTTTGCCACAACTGACAGGCTAAAAAAGTAATTTACAAAACTCATTGTAGTCTGCAGACTAGTCCACAGCTGTCTGCATGTTCACAGAAATTAGGCTATGTCAAACAGGAGGCACAATCTACATTTAAAGCAGTGAGTGAATAGTCAGAAATGAGCATGGCTGGGAGGCTTCAATGGTAGTTATCAGGCTCAGTTGAGGGCCTGGGGTACAGCCAAGATCTCACAAGCATGCAGCTGCCCACTTACCATAAACACAAAAGACCAGCATGGCTATGCATGGCAGCCAAGGAGGCCTACGTTTTAAAGCAGGCTTGCTGTTTAATTATCTACTACATAATCACTTGCACTGTATACATTTGTCCAGAACAAGAGCTTTGTTGAGCTCTGTAATAGAGGCTTTCAACACACCTGTCCAAGTTGGAGAGAAATGTTGTCCACTTGAATTCTAAATCTCACAAAAGTCTCTTAATTACAAAGGGCCGGAGACACATCACTCTACCTCCACAGCAGAATAACATTGCATTTTAATAGATCCAAATCAGAACAAGTCACATCCAGTGGATACTGCTTTATTAACTTTCAATCAAAATTAAGAATGAAGGGGAAAGAGCACTCTTGAGTTTTACATGCAAGAATGTATCCATCCCCCACACTGCATTTCCACTGACCATATAGCCTCTACATCAAACAATAGATAAGCAAGGGAACAACATTTTTTTCCAGAGAAGTGTTTGATCAACGTCATAACAGTGGCATTACAATATACAGGATATTAGAGAGCCTTAAAATTGTGTCTAAATATTTTTAGTGATATGGAAAGGAAAGGGGAATCATCTGCAAGTTCGGATAGGCAGCCTCTTTTATACTTGAGCTAAAACAGTTTATTTTTTTCAGATGAGCTTGCCAGCCCTCCAGGTGGATGGCTCTCAGTTTCAGAGGAAAAGGCCCTGAAAACTGAGCTTGTCCAAGTAACCAGCACAAACAGTTCCTTAAACCCCTTTTCCAAAATCCCTCATGAAAGGGAAATGAGTCTGGCAAAGAAACTGGTGTGACGGGAGCTCATAGAATGTTACACGCAGGCTACAGAGCAAACAGGATTTTGAACTCAACAGAAAGACCACAAGCTACTGGTGATGAAATATAAAATGTACATGCTCAAAAAGTTAAATGATGCATCTGTACTTTAACAGAAAGTCTCCTATTTTGTCTTTTTAACTTATACTTAATGCAGATTCAAGCCAATTATGAACTTCAGTAGTCATTATCATGGCCATGGGAAACTGTGAAGTTCAGATTTAACAAGCTCTTGTGTTTATGATCCCACCGAGGATTTCAGAATCTGTTGGATTGTATGTCAGTCTTCATACCTGACGGGAAGGTTGCTAGATAAAGATAAAACAACCACATTCCACTGCAACAGCACAAACAAGAAAGAGGGTCTGAGAAACAGCCAAATGACATGGCCACCAAAGTGACACTTAGAAACACATGCAGCCAGTGACTGTAAAATTTATTAGCAAGGTCTTCTGCATTTGCCACTGACCTATCTTGCCATGTGTGACATGGCATCATTGAAAACCCAGAGTGAGATCAGAGTGTTTGCACTTCAAAGCCAGCCAAATCACATAAAACACTTTTGATCCCAGGAAGGCACTTATCTCTTTGCAGGCTTCATGGAACACTTGGTCACTCTGACAACTAATCTGATTGAGTTTACACTTATTGTCAGATATCAACCAAGCCTAGAATACTTCATTCACAAGGTGAATGGATGATACTGACATGAGAACCGGTGGTTCCCAAGGCTTATTTTAAGACTTTGCATACCAGTATGTATGATGCATATCTTTAAGCTTCACATAAACGTTTTACTTGTTTTATTAACCTTCCCTTTGACATTTTTGTCACATTATGTCTTTAATAATCTACTGAATGGCAAAACAGACATAATACAAAGTAGAAAGAAAATCAGTTCAAGCTAACTTTACATTTATGCAAGTAATACCCCAGACAAGATAGAAAAGACATAGCTGGCAGTAAAGTTACACATGAGGAAAACTTGCTAAGCTAACTAATTGGAGCAATGTTTAGCTTCCACAAAGAAGACGGTTTCACTTCACTTCACTCGCTTCTAATTAAATCTGTCAGCATAGAAATCACCACTCATGCGAATTAAATACTTTCAAAACAAAAGGAGTATCACACTATATGAACTCGTTCACTACAGTTCCTCAGTTAAAGTTAGCTAGCACAGAAACTTATTATTTGACCAAAAACTACCACTCACAAGCATCACGGTGAGCGACTCGGATCTCCACCAACGTCGGGCAGCTGGTTAGTTTCGCTGGACCATGTTGAGGTTTGTTTTTTAGCAGAACTACAGAAAGAGGCGTCAGGCAGGAATAAAAGCGAGCAGGTCACCTCACGTCCTGCTCCAGGCAGCTCCTACAAACTACAACATTGCCCCAGTGCACTACTGTCCAAGATTGCACGCTAATGAGCCTGTGACAACATACACGAGCAATACCACTTTTGACAGGGGAGAGGGGTGTCGGAGAGAACTTATTTGTACCACTAACTCATTCAGTTTTACATTGATTATATGCGTTATGTGCCTTGTTTAATGTTTGTGTCCAATCCAGCTAAAGCTTGCGGTGGTAGAAAGTAATATATTAATCTCTGTAAGACTCTGTGTAACACTGCTGCCCCCGCGCCTGTAACTTTTGGTCGGATCCACCCTCCAGTAATGAAAAGTAATCACAGTTTGGAGCTGTGCATATAGACATGGCACTTTCACAATATACAGAGGTGTAATATAATAACTTGCCAGCTGTGTGTTCCTTAAAGAGACAGATAGCAGGAGAAAAAGACAGATGTGTGATTTATATACTTTATACATGATTTATATATTTATTTATATTATTTACCTTCTGATCACTTACAACCGCTCCACCACAGAGATATTTGTCCTTTATTCCTCAGATTTTGTTTTTCATTACAATTTTTTTTGCAGGCCTGCAAATGTATGAAATGTTTGACTTCTTTTCTAGTAATAATCATATTGCAACCCATCTACTTTCAAAGGTTGGGGACCACAGAGTGAAAATCCTTGAATGTCTGGAAATGTATATAAGCCAGTTGTATTTATGACAACTACTGCCTAAAAATAAACAGGATATTATTGTAACGTTGCTAAAAGCTGCACCAGTATAAAGATCAACAAATATATTTGATCATTCCTATCCTAGCACATCATATGCAGTAAGTTCATTTATTTTGAGGTGCCTGAAGTTAACACATTGGGCCTCAGAAGGGTGGGGAGTTGAATCTCACCCCTGGCAGACACTATTGTTAATCAAGGAGTAACATCTGTTGTGTGCCACTAATCTCCCCCAGACTTCTCTCCTCGTTTTTTGACCGTCTGCCTTTTGTGTGAAAGGGCACCAAGGACTTGTCTCCAGTATGTAGGCCAGAGTGTGGGGGTGACAAGTTGTTTTTACCAAATCTCTTTAAGCAGCAATTTTGGAAGATTATATAACGTGGCAAACTGTATGCTGCATGTTGTGTTTTGTAGACCTAAAAGGCACTGATGACTCTTTAGGAAACAGATGATCAAACACACAGTATAGAAGCAGGAGTCCTGTAATTCAACAAGTTTGGCAGTGTGTTGTGACTGTCAAAGCCATAGGGGGCAGTATCCACCAATCATAGTGCAACAAGATTGAAGTGAAGCGCAATAGCTTCTATAGGTTTAAGAAAAAATAAGCCTTGATTTTGGTGTTTTTAGTCATTTCTCTTTGTAACTGTAGCTAGCAAATTGTTAACAGTAAATAGGAAGTGAGCTTCCAACTCCCAGTACTGAGCCCCCATACAGAATGCTGTATGCCATCTGTGGTTCACACTGGCTGCAGACAGATGGCCAAAGGACTCCTGTTACAGGAGCCATCCCCTTTTCAACTTTAATGAACAGTTAATCCATCCCTAACAAAATCCCCTATTTTATGATTTAAGATTCACTCATTTGTTTCCATTCATACTTTTAAACAAATGCAGCTTAAACATTAAACTGTTCAAACTGCACCACAAATTAGCCACAAAGCTGAATTAGGAGTACACCTACTCTATGAGTAGTATTTGAGTGTGTTTGTCATTCCTAGAATTCACAAGCTTTCTATCAGTGAGCACAAATCCCCAATACATAGTCGATCCCCAATTCAAAAAGTATAGTTTGTCCAAGAGGGTGACACTTGAGTAAAAGAAAAACACTGACACCATTTGTCAAAATGCAGAAGAACGTCCATTTACAAATTGATTATGCAGCTTGTTGCTGAAACTATTCTCTGACATTATTCAATGGGGATACTGTAACTACAGTCAAAACACAAAGAGAGCATATGGCTTTCACAGAACCCCATCTGAATGTCACGGTTTCTCATCTATCCCGCTAATCCGCGCCTGTAATGTTTATAGCCAAGTTAATTGAGCTGGCACATCTCAGTGGGTTTGGAGATCCCCCTCTTAGGGGGTCTAAAGCAACATTTTTGCCAAAGCATACACATTGCTAAGACCTCCACAGCATCTGAAAGAGGTGCAGCTGTTCTTCCAGTAATGGTTCATGAGAGACTGTGTGAGTGAGGCATTTAAATACAGAGCTGTGGAGCTCAGAACAGTTTTATTTTCAATCCTTATGTGATTAAATGACAAAGTAAATTAACTAATAATCCTAGATCAGTCTACCTTTTACAAATTAAATATTGTAGTAAAACATCTATGATATTTGGTGAGGCAGAGCGGCCTTAAGTCTATGCCTGAGTTAATGATAAAGTAATCAGTATTATATTTAGATACTGACAGTGGTGGAAGTATACACATTGTTGAAGTAGCAGTACCACAGTGAAAACACTCAACTACATAAAAGTCCTGCATTCAAAATGTTACATAAGTACAGTATTAAAAGCAAAATATTTTAAAAGTAAAATTGCCCCTTTCAGAGTATTACATTATTATGTATATTATATTATTGGATTATTACTATTGATGCAACAGCCAGTATAGGCAGCCTTTTAATATTGTAGGTCAAGCTGGAGCCAATTTGACCCACCTTATATACTGTTCAATATCTATGTTAATCTAGAACAAGGATAAAGACAGTAATAAAAGAGGTGTTCTAATCATTTACTTAAAGCAGCAATACAACTATGTAAAACTACTTCAATACAAGTAAAAGTTCCTGCATTCAGAATCTTATTTAACTATTATTATGTAAAGAGACTTAACATTTCAAATGTAAAAGAAAATGGCCCCGGTGTGCAGTGTATTATTACATATTATATTAGTTGGTCAAATCAAATCGTCACTACTTTTACGGTTAGGTAGTTAAATCTATAACACATTATATTGTATAACCTTTTTGTTAACCGTTTTTTATATGACATAAATACATAGCAGCAAAAAGTACAAAATGGAAAATGGATATTAATGTAAGTAGTATAAAATAGACATGATCAAGTGAAGTTTCAGTACTTTACATTAGAGAATATACTTAGTTTCCATCTCTGGCCACTGAAGATGTTTACCTAAGATGCCCTAACAGATTTCAAGAGCTCTTATTCCCCACCCCCATTGTAGGAAACACAGAGCACATTATGTTGAGGACAGTGGTTGGTCTTCATGGTCTAGTGTGAGTAACAGATTTATTAAGGAACAGTTGCTCTGGAGTCAGTCAGTTGCTTTGCATTTACTCAATAAAAACAAAGACATTATTTTACTGCTACAGCAAGTATCTCTCTGTTTAACATTTCAGGTATAGTGTGTAACATCTGTTTTTGTACCACTTTGTTCACATTTTGCAGTTTTATGTATTTAATCCTTTCAGTCATGTTGAAAGCTAGATATTTATACAATATAGAATTTGTACTGTTAGCAGTGCAAGATGTAACTTGAGATTTACCACCAAATCCACTACTAAAATGTATACCACTTGTGGAAAACTTCTGTAAACATATAACATTTGTTTTTACATTTTACATGTTTGTCCTAATAAGTGCTCTCATATTGATATATAAAACCCCATGAAATAAAACAACCTCAGTTGACAATGTCTGGAGTGACTAATACTGAGTAGTCTGCACAGTTTTGGGGGATCCCTCTCCTTGAGAATGCTCCCTCTCCTTCTCCATGTGCGCCTGCACCGACCTCCACAGTGCCCGGATGTTCCCCTCACCAAAACCTGTCGCCCCTCTTCGCTCTATCAGCTCGAGGAAGAAGGTGTCCTCTGCAAAGATGGGCTTGGTGAACACCTGGAGAAGGTATCTGGAAACAGACGACAACAAGGCAAGGACACTTGGTTGGTCTTCTGTAAACATGTTGACTTGATCCCTACACTACAAATAATTTCAACAGGAGATGTATCACAACTTATAGAGAAATAACCTTTGTTTTCTTATCTTTTCTTTCATAACTATTTTTGAAAACATATCCAGGAGTTTTCTGTACATATTCCAAGTTACATAAATGGGTATTTACTGTACTGTAAGGTAAAATATGAACATCCCACCATTTTAACAGTTGCTAACAATGTACTTTCCAGGACAATAGTAGATGGGCAGAAAACCACCAAGAGAAAGTTATCTTTTAGAAAGACTGGTACAGAGGCTAACTACAAAAGGGGTGCAAGATCACAGCTCTCACCTTCCATTTTCACTAGATGCTGTCTGTGATGAGGTATCCTGGTGCAGGTCTGTGTCCAGGAGAATGCCATGCTGGGCCAGCGTCTGGGGGTTGTGTCCTGCCTCCTCTATCTCCTGCTGTTTTCCCACCTGTCAAAGCACACAGGATAGGTAAAGAGTTGATAACCACGGTACAAATGACACATTTGCAAATATGTCCAGAATGTGTTATAGCCCACTATCTAATGTAATAAAAGAGCCACAGAAACATCTTTGTTAAAAGACTATACATTTTAGCCACATAAGAAAAATCACACAGAAAGTCATAGAAACAGACTGTTCATTATAATTTTTCTGTTCTTCTGTTAAAAACTAAAAAATCCTCAAACCCCTGATGTCTTCTGGTAAAGAGCAGGGTGCTGAACAGGTCCACTTTTATGGAAAGGTCTTTGGTGCCTGGTGATTCACTATAAATTGGGACTGTGTGTGTAAATTCACAAGCCAGCGCATTTCTGCAATTTCACTATTTAAAGACAATCTGATTTATGTTTCTGTAATGAACATTTTATCAAACATACAGTACTAGAATACCCTTTCCAACTTGTTGAATAAAATGTGGTCAGTATTTGTGTATTTGTTGTCTGTGCGGTACGGTTCGGTTCAGAGTCAGTCAAACCTCTGTGTAGTAGGCAGGAGGAGGGGAGAAAAACTGGACACCAGCTTCAGCCATCGCATGTGCAGTAGAAACAATGTTTTTTGTGTACAGCCCAATGTGCTGGATCCCTGGGGTCCTGTGCTTCTCCAAGAAAGTGTCAACCTGATTCCTGCCTGAAATAAGTGCAAGCAGACAGTGACACAAGAGTTGTAATATCACCAATTACGGCAGAAATGAAAAACTTGAAACATGGGAGTGATTGCTGTTACCTTGTTCAGGCAGTGATTCTGCAATGACAAACTTGCAGTCAGGCTCTTTTTTGTCCACAGAGGGGAGAATGATGCCTGCTTTGCTGCACTTCCAATACTCCATGGCAGTAAGACGTAGTCCAATGCCGTCCTGGTTTACGACAAAACCTTCGTCCACATCTTCATTACTACTCAGAAGAATAGTCATTTTTATTACTGACATCAACTTGAACAAAATTGACATTACAACTGTAAATATCTTGCGAAGTCAATAGTTGCTCACCCATCAATGAAAAACCTCTGAAAACCAAAGGCCTTCTCATACCACCTCATGACCTGGTGGGTTGTTTTCCTGGGACAGGCATAAGTTATGTGATCAAAATGTGTGACTGGACAAGACACGTCTTCTTCCAAGCAGAAGTCCTTTTCAATGACATTAAACCCAGGCAAGAAGCTTCCCTCATATTGTGTCCTGTCAATGAGTGTGTGGCACACATTTCCCACAATAGATTTAACCACAGAGTAGGTGACAAGACCACCCTCATCCCTAACTGTGGTGGGAGGCACCAGGAAATTGCAGCCCAGATGGTGAAGAGCCTTGAATGACCTTTCCACATCTTCCACCTCGAAACACACGTTGCTTACAGTATCCACGGAGTAATGTTGGCTGACATCGTAAAGGCATTTCATAAATTGATCCTGGTTGTATTTCCCCACTTTGACCCGATGTGGATCAGGTGAATAATTGTCTGTGATTCCCTGTAGCTCTTCATTCACGACGAAAACTGCTGCTCCTTTTCTGAAAGCCAGCTGCCTGGACCTGTCGGTTAGTCTGGTAGCAAACAAACTAAACTTGAATTTAGAGACAAGGTCATTGGCAATTTTCTCCGCGTTAGAAACGTGGAGCGAAACGTGGTGCAACCGGCTCAAGAAAGCTGCCATGTTTGGATGTGACGTTTGGCAAAAGGCGGGTCCAAACCCCAACCAACCCCTGCCTTTTAATCACTGTGACAACCATGTGATGTTCAGTTAGGCTAAAGGCTATATAATCACGTATAAATGTATAATTTGTGTGCTTGTTAGAATATCGCAAGCATATAGTGTCAACATCTTTAAATAACCAGTGTCATCACCTAGAGGTCAGTAAAAGGTGATTCATAACCGACCAAAAACATTTGTAAAGAACAGCATGCATTTATGTTTTCCATGAAACCCTGTTTTTATTTATTTTCTTATATCATTTCTATCGATTTTAGTGTGTACAAAATAAATTCATTTGAAGAGCTTACACATTTCATCCTTTTTTTCTTTCTTTTTTTTTTACAACTTCTGCGTACATAAAGTCTAATGAATTTGCATTGTAATGACCCTTTCAGCACCTTGATATAAAATCTCCTCACGTGAATTTTCATTCATAGGGGTGTTGTGATATTTTCTATACACAGTGAAGGCAACACGGTTCTTCCATTTGAACCAATCGGATTGAGCGCTGAGCCAGATGATTGGTGACGAGGGCTAGCCAGCGTTTATTTTGGCACTGCTACTCATTTGTCTCAGTGTAGCCGCCATTAAACAACACGGAGGCAATGTAAAACATGGAGTGTCGCTGAATTATACCATGATTCAAAGAGAACAGAGGCTTTGCCAAGGTGTGGTTTATTCTGCGAGAGGTTAATGAGTCCATAAAGGTAAACATGTGACAGTCCAAAGGGGTCGAAATAACTCGGATTGGGAAAGCTTTGACGGAACAGGAGGAGGGGGGTCTGTACAAGAAGGGTTTGTTGTGGTTTTCAGAAGCACTTGAGAAACGAGCGCAGCCGCAAAACGGTAAGAGTTTGACATATTTTTTATTCAAATATTCCGGATAATTATATGATTGTAACGTTACGTCCGGTTAAATTTGCACAGTTAGCGAACATTTAACCGGCTATGTATGCTAGGTGGTTAGCTTGCCAGCTAGCAAGCTATCACTAAACACTGAAACATTATTACATAGTAATGCAATAAAGCCGCCCGTCATGTGAATCAAACCCAGCCTGCTCTATACTGTTACTGATAATGAACAGCTGGCAGGCAATTATAGTCTTTTAATCACACAACAGTCTCCAGCATGCTAATGTCATTGAGCATGCCCGACCAGATGTAAGTTAGTTTACAAACTACAGGAACACATAACTACCCTAAAATCTCTTAATTTATGAATCTGAAACACAAACTACTTTATTATATTTATTGACCTTAAAGTTGATCAACAAATCTTTTGTGTATGCCTCACATCTAACTAGATTTATCACCACAGTTTGACCAGCCAAAGTAATCCACAATGACGGAACAGAGGATAAAGTGGGTCTGTGATTACTGCACCTATGAAAACTGGTCATCTGCAATCAAGTGCACTATGTGCCGGGCACAGAGGTCGACGGGTCCCATCATCACGGAGGAACCTTACAAGAACAGCCCTGATCTGGACCCCAGCCTGGAGTGGGACCCTCCCAGAACTGAGAGTGGCAGTAGCCTCCTCATCTGCCCTGATTCAAGTGCTAGGCCAAGAGTGAGGTCAGCCAGCATGGCTGAGATTGCCAATAAGTGGTCCTGTCAGATATGCACCTACCTGAACTGGCCTCGGGCCATACGCTGCACACAGTGCCTATGTCAGCGCCCGAGGACCAGCAGCCCCACCGAGTCCCCCCAGACATCAGGCTCCAATGCAGGCTGCCGCCCTGCTCTCCACTCCCCCGTGGATACCTGTGAGGAGTACAATGACAGAAACAGACTTAACACCCATCAGCAGCGCTGGACATGCGCAGCATGCACTTACCAGAACTGGCCCAAAACTACAAAGTGTGTTGTGTGTGACCACCCCAAGCCCAATAATCAGGAAGCTATAGAGCTGGCCGAACCTGCTGAGCCAACACCTGTGATCAATGAGCAGGACAGGGCTTGGTGGAAGGGCAGTTGCAGTGGAGGACAGGGCCAAAGAAGATCCCCTCCTATGCCCCAGAGGGAAGACCGTGTCAAAATGGACTTCCAGAGGATAGAGCTTGCAGCTGGAGCCATGAGCAGCAAAGATGAGCAAGAGGTCGACTTCAAGAAGCTAAAGCAGATTAGAAACCGAATGAGAAAAACAGACTGGCTGTTCCTCAATGCATGTGCTGGTGAGTTTTATTTACATTTTACATGTAATTCCTACAAGGGCTAAAGCGATTAAGTCATTAGTTGATCCACAGAAACATTTATCAACAGCAATTTTGATAATCTATTAAGCCATTTGTAACATCTTATCCCAGCTTCTCAAATAAAAGCATATGCTCCTTTTCTCTGTTTTATATCATTGTAAATGATATATATTTGAGGGTTTTAGACTGTTGGTTGGACAAAAGAAGCATTGGGGCTCTGGGATCTTTTGATGAACATTTTGGCATTATCGGTAAATAAAAAAATGGATTACTCAATAAAAATAATGCATAGATGCAGCTTTACAAATAGTACCTATTGGGCTCTCATTATGTGTGCAAATACTCTCCTCAGTGACTACCCTGAATAGTCTTAGTGGTACAAAGAATCTATACTCTTGTCCCATTTTTTTTCCCTCCCTTGTAACAACACTTCTATTGTCACACCAGCTTTTTGTTTCCTTCCATGATGTCATGTGCAGTAATGACAAAGTGAAGTGCTGCAGTCAGAGGCAACTGTTTTGATTGTTTTTGTCCCAGTGGCGTAAGTTAGTTTCCGCTTGGTTCTGTTTTATTACGGTGCAGATGGTGCCTCACCCTGCAAAGGCCAAGGCTGTGGAGTAGTGTGATCCACTTGATGTTTTATTAATGACTGACAACATGTTTTGTTGTTTGGTCTCCAAATATT